CTAATTGCCTGGGAAGCCAGTGTTTTATCGAAAGAACACCGGCTTCGCTTGTTGCTAGGAAGCCGGGCGCGGGGTCATGATGTGCCACCCGGATTCCTGATTGGTCAGAAAGCCAGGCTGCCTAGCAACAAGTGAAGCCGGCTTCCCAGCCAATCAGGAACCCGGGAGGTTGGTCATGACCAGCTGCCAGGTTTCCTGATTGGCTGGAAAGCCGGCTCCTTGCTTCATCGCGGCACTGCCGGTGAGAGGGAATCTCCCTCTGACTGAAAGTTCCGGTATCGGGGTAAGTATTGGACCATTTGGGCAAATACTCACCCAAATAGTCGGTATCAGCATTGATACTAGTATCAGTATAGGTGCATCCCTAATTTAAAAATGTTTAAATAATTTTTTTATTTTTAATAAACAGGAATGAATGACTGCAGTTCCTAATGAACTATGAGATATTTTGCTCATTTATTGCCCCCAAGAATTGTTTTTTCATTTCTGCAGGGTGTTTAGATGGTATATAAACAAAGGCAGCAATCCCCTGAAAAGAATACCTCTAGTATTCTATACAAACTCCTAATTTTATATTGTAATACAATTCTATCCTTGCCAATTTCCATCCTCTGCTGGGTAGGAAGAAAGTACCGTCCATCTATGGGGATTTTAGGGAATACAGAGAAAAGGCAGCACAGTTCTCCTGGAATTCAGGCTGAGGAATTTCCTCTTGTATTGCATTGAGTCCAATTGAATTTGTAGTAGTATAGGTGGAATTATAAATTAGGTAAGCTTGAAAATGGGCAGAAATGGGCAACCACTACCATTTGAAAACATGTTTTTGACATAGAACTGTTTCTCTTTATACAATTAAAGGCAGAAGACTTAAACCCCATAATTTAAAATTGCCCCAATGGCTCTCACTTTCTAATATTTATGTTCTTCTGTGTTATTTTTTGTTGTGTGCGTAAATCAGCACAAGCTAACTGTTGGTTCTACAAATTTAGGCTAAGTTGCAGAAATGCTATTTATGGACTCTTGATGCCATCAGACCATTGTCACATTGACAAGCCTGCTCCTAAGTATGGACAACAGCTTGCGTAGCCCATCATTATTAGTGTCAATCGCCAATATTGGGACTAGCCGCACTAGTGAACCACCAAAGCTTCTTTTGCTCACAGCCCTGGCCTGGCATTTTTTCATGTTTTTTTTTAATGGTGAGCTTGACAGAGATTGAGAGATTATTTAACATATGCCCTGCAATATATGTGTGAGAGATGCTTCATGTTTTATATTTACTTTAAAATTTTACAGTAAGATATCCCATTGTTATTAACTAATTTGCATGACAATGTGCTGGGCTTCATATAGGAATGCAGTAATTAAGTTACAAAATGTATGAGTGCAGCAGGTGCTGTTCTGTTCAATTTGAAACCTATCAAAAGAATTACGTTGAAGTATCTTTTTCTTATTTTGTTCTAGAAAACAATGTAAACAGAATTCAGACTATATCACGGTTCTTTTTGGAGGAGCCAAAGTTTGAAATGGAATAACTATGAGAGATGTGCCAAATAAATATCTTGATGTACAAAAGTTCAAATGGCACATGCTTGAAAGAAAACTCATAGAAAGAAAATATCATATTTCAGTCTTTCATATATTTTTAGAAAGAATGCTTGTCAGAAAGGCACAGTAGTGGGTCATGCCAAAATTAATATGAAAAAGAAAGAAAGCTATTATATTACATTGTGCCCTTTGATTTCAATGCAAGAATTTTAAAGCTAAACTGCTGCCTTCCTTCGGTTTTGCACAGTTGTACAGGCTCATCTTTTATACTGAAATTGCTTACTCTGATTTCACTTCACACTGTGATCTACTCACAATGTGCATGACAAACTGCAGCAGGTGAAATAGGACCCGCCTCACTTCCTAGCTGGAGGACTTCCAGCATTGATTAGCTCTTACCTAACTAGCCTTTCTGTCCCTGGCCCATTCCTTCATTCATTGGATTTAAGTTCTTTCAATCATGGAGGCTCAGTGGCTAATGGTAGATGTGGCTAGACTGAGCTGTCCAAGGGACTTAAAGAGGTATATTTAAATAAACGCTGAGCCAACGCTGTTCTTGCACAAGAGTAAGTAACACATGGAGTGCAGAACTCAGGAGAAAGTAATGCACAGAGTGCAGGGTTCAGGAATAAGTAATACACAGAGTGTAGAACTTAGGAGTATGTAATGCACAGTACAGGGATCAAGATTAGGTAATGCACAGAGAGCAGGAGTCAGGAGTAAGTAACACACAGAGTACAGGAGTCAGAAAAAAGTAACACACAGAGTGCAGGGGACAGGAGAGCATAATGCATGCAATGCAGGGGACAGGAGTATGTAATGCACAAAGTTTGCTAAAACTGACCTTTTGCTGCTGCAAATCAGCTTTCTGCTGTCAATACCCTCCCTCTGATTTTTGATTTTGCCATTCTTTCTGCTAACTTAAGTGTCAGTTGCCAAAGAATATTCACCTGTCAACAGTAAACAGAAGTTCCCTAGGTCCAGATACCACAACCACCTGCATTTTTGCAGCTGCAAGCCCCAAGGCCATGCTATAGCTCTGACATGGAATGGAATGGGTGGGAAGGGATAGAAGCTGGCAACTGCATTAGAATAAATCATTTTAAAAAGCACAAGCAGTTGTGGCATTGGGACCCGGGCACTCAAAGGGAGAGGTGCGGCATGTGCCCCGGGTGCCCAATGCTAGTTATGTCCCTGGGATGTGCTATAGTTATTACATCTGGAACAAGGGAAACTATGAGATTCCTAGGATATGGTGTACTAATAATCTGTCTATTGTATGATGCTATTAAGAGGGTCACATTTATATGCCCTAGTTTTGCTTACAAGGGATTTAGTGAGGCTTAAAATATAGATCTAATGAGATGTCAGTGGATATGTATTATGTGAGTTGTTTTGTCCTATTCATCAGCAACACACATATCTGGTTGCCAGGACAGCCGTTATAAACCTCTCCATGGAAACTGTTTTCTCAGAGCTAATCTGTTGATATTTCCATCCACATTACCCCATTTGAAGAGTTTTAGTCATAGCCATGGAGCATTACCTCCATTTAATATAAAACATTCTGCTTTGTTTCTACCTGTTATCAGCTGATTAAAAATGTGGCTTTGTATGGCAAAATGTTCCATCAGAAATTAATTCTTTTTTACATGTTAATTCCATTCCCTCTGGGGAATGACTATAATGAAGAATTAAAATATAAAAAACACATTCATTTCTAAATGATAAAGAAGACATCTGCAAGAACAGAGATAGAAAATACTCCCTACTGTGTTATTTAGGAGTAATATGCAATCAATTGTAGCCACTTTTGCTGCTAGGTGAGTTGGAGGTGACAGACTGTAAAGAGAATGGAAGAAGAATGGAAGCATAGGAACATACTTTATTTTGTTAACGAGCAGGGGTTGTAAGGAAGAGCGACTACTTTTGATTCAAGGATTTAAATTGTTATAATAGGACACAAAGTCTGTCTCCTTTGGTATGCCTGTTTCATAGTAAAAATGAGAATGCACTGTGACATTTGCTTGCTTATTTGCAGTTTGACCTTTTGATATAGACGGGGGTGATTGGGGGGTGGGGGTTATCACTTTTCAGAACCAGAAAGGTTTTCACTTTGGAACATGGTTTTGAGTAACTAATAAATATATTTTGCATTTCATTATTCGATGGTTTCGAACACTGAAAATAACAGGGTTATTCACAAAAGGGTGAAGAGTTTGGAGAAAGCAGGAGAAGTGAACAATTTAGGACAACATACCTGAACTGGAAAGTGAGCTGAATTAGATAATGTTTCCAAATCAGCTATTTTGGCCTAGATTGTTCATTTCTCCTGCCTTCTCCAAACTCTTCACCTTTTTTGTAAATAACCTTGTAAATGTTATATAGTATTTAAGAGGTCAAACACAGGTCAGATTCATGCCCAGAGGACGGATTCAGGGCTACATGCAATTTTAGGGTGCATTGGCAGTTTGTTCATTTTGAATGGGCTGCCCTGGCACAACGCACATAACATGCAGCATAACATAAAGAAGTAAATGGGCCCTTAAAGTACCTCAATATTAGATGATCATTACCTAATTCCCCCAATTTAAGTAGGGCTGAGTACTAGTAGTAAAGTCTGTAGGCATCATCAGAATGTAGCTGACTACCCAGCTTTTCTGTTCTGGTCTATACATTTTCTTCAAGGTGACATCGGTGTCAGGCCTAAGTGCCTAACAATGCATTTTCCTGCAGTACTTTTTTAACAAACAAAGCAAAAAAAGATTGTTTAACGGATGACAATTTAATAATGCATGTGCCACTATCTGATGACACATGCTGTGTATATAAATACTGTGTCCAGTCACAGTGGACAGCTGCTGTTAACCATTGTGATCAATGTATTTGCCTATTAAGACAGCTAGATGCACACTTCACATAGTGGAAAACAAATATTGGAGTTGACTGGAGGCAAGAAAATTTGACTAAATGTGAAACTGTTTACCCACAGTATCTTATCTGAAATTTTGTATATTGACTCAAGAATGTGAAACTGACTGGCTCATATTGGCAACAACTCCATTTTTTCTCTCATTTTCTCTTCTTCTTTTTTTCCACATTTAATAAAGAGTATATTTGTCATAAAGAAGTAAATAAAGATTTGGGCATAGTTCTGAACAGGCAACATAGGCACCCAGATCCTCACACATTTTGCCGCAGTAACAAACGTCCATGTATAAAAAATTGTTCTAGTCTACCCGTTTATTTCTTGTCCTGGTATCAGGGCAGATCCCAGCAATGAGAACACAAGCAATATAAAAACCTTGACAAGAGCTCTGACTACTACCTACTTTAGCAGGAATTAAAGTTGAACTTTAAGGTTCTAAATCTTTTTAACATGTATGTAATGTCTGGTGTAATTGTGCTGGTTTCTTATATTTATACCAGTATTTCCTCTTTACATGTTTCAGAGCGGGGATCTCATTTCCTGTAGACCTCATCATTTTGAGGTGAGGCTAAGATGAGCATAACCAGTGATGAAGTGAACTTCTTGGTGTATCGCTATCTTCAGGAGTCAGGTAAACTTTAGAGTACATAGCAATGCCCTAAGAATTGCTTATGTCCAAGATAATACCATCCAACTACCGTGTTTCCCCGAAAATAAGACACTGTCTTAGATTTTTTTTTGCCCCCAAAAACCACACTAGGTCTTATTTTCAGGGGATGTCTTATTTTTTTTTTAATGTGCAACAAAATGTACAACAATCTAAAGTTATCAGGTATCACTCCACCTGTCACAGTAACTGGCGCTCTAGAGGAAGTATCGGCTAATGCGGCTCTGCTCCCTCCGCTGCCGCAGCCTTGCTTTCTACAGCGCCGACTTCCTTTGCCACCAGGGACAGCGGTACCAGCGGTGCAGCAGTGGGGACATCAGACAGTGGACAGCATGGTAAAGTACGGTACCATTACCGGTACATATTACAGTACAGTACCATTACATTAAGCAGTGCCTTCGGGGACAGCAGTTGGTGAAGTATGGTACTGGCGTGCTCCCGGTCACTGCGCTGGCCAGAGGGAGTCCCCTGTCATCCCCATAATACAGTATGTCCCTGCAGGCTGATACCATCTCTCCTGCAAGTTCCCCCTCACATGCTACCACCAAACTAGGTCTTATTTTCGGGGTAGGTCTTATATTACAGGAATCTTGAAAAATAGTGCTAGGTCTTACTTTCGGGGTAGGTCTTATTTTCGGGGAAACAGGGTATTTACTCAGTAGTCAACTGCATAATTTGGCACTGTTTTCTTAACACTGTCGTTTTAAAAATGTCCATGTGGTCAGTTATACAATTTTAGAAATATAATTTATAAGTAGTATGTGGCTAGTAGTGATAATCACTTACTAAAGTTTTTCTTCTGTCCCATCTAGACCTTAAGATTCCGCAAGCACGTGTTTCCCTTTAATCCCATAGTAATTCTAAATCTATGAAAGTCTTCTGTTAATGACACTGCTGAGTGCTTTGCTATATTTCTGTAGGAAATCTGAACAGTGAAAATTCACTTTGCAAAGTAAGCATATCCTGCTCCTTTAGTAAATCAATCCCATTGTCTAAATAAGGGAAAAAGCAGCCATGGTATCTAGAAGTGTAACAGTATCTATGATCTTGTTGGTCAGTGGCGAAGTTACCCATTACATTGGCGTCAGTGGTGAAATGCCCCATGATGTTTGTGTCAGTGGTTAAGTTGGTTTTAATAAGCTACTTATCTGAGAGAAGAGAGACTTCATGTCCTGTGTCACTGGCTCTGCTGAATGACACCAGCACTGGAACAATGCAAGCACCATCACGCAAGAGATCAAGCCACCCCATGGCAATGCACACTTTGTTTGATAGCACCTGGGAACTGGGTAAGTGTAGAGTCCAAAAGTAGTCTTTTATTAACAATGGATCAATAAAACAGCTAACATGTTTCAGGGGTCCTCTGGAATCCCCTTTTTTAGGACTTACGAATTAGGCCCCTTCAAGAATGTTATAACTCTTAAGATATGGAACAACAATACTTATCACATCAAAGAAAAGTATGTGCAAGTAAAGCAACTTTTTGGGTTGTTATAGTTGTCTGTCTAACCATCCATTGGAAAGACTTCCCTTACTTCCTCTTTGGGGTGATTTGATAGCTGTTAAGGAAAGAGGTATCCCCTAAAAAGGTTTGCCTATTAGTGGCAGCTGTACAATTGTAGATTTGTCCTCACTTTCTGTTCTGGAGACCACAGCCACCAACATAGAAAGTAGTAATCAAATTATAGATCTAACTTTTCACCAAAACTTGAAAACAATTTGTGTGGATTTCTGCTAAAAATGTACACAGTGGTACACTGAGCAGCACTCTGTTTCAGCAAACTATCCACACATGAAGCATTTGGCAGAATATACTCTTACAACTTAAACACCTAACCATTTCCCATTTGTCTTCATTCCTGTCATGAAAATGCCTAACTAACTCTGTCTGCACCACAATTAGACCAATAGACAGGTCACTCATTCAGCAAAATCAGAACACTGCCAAAATAGTCTGGCTTTCTAAGATCTAATTCGCTACAGAAGTTGTTGTTTTATCTCCAATTTTTCCCAACACTAAAGACATCTGGACATACAGGAAGTGAAGCAGTACATAATAATGTGCACAGAATTAAGTCTCATCAGATGCATTTTTATATTTTCTTCTGTTAACTAGCAGCTTTTACAGTCCAGCAAACATTTGCACTGGCAAGAAGTGTGGTATTGAGGTCTTTGACTTCATTATATTATAAATTATTGCAGCAGTATTTTCAAGACTTTGAAGTACTAGTGCTGTTCGCTCTCCCCAACAATTAGGTATTGTTGATGTCCTGCAGAATTGTTACAATGCATTCTCAAGTTCTTTTTAGCCTGTGTCCAATGTAGCTCATAGCTTTTCTTCAGCAGCTTGCCTAATGTCACCTTAAGAACTTTGCTATTTATGTTCTAACATGGTGGAGTAGAGCAGAATTTGAACAATGAAGCATTCCTGGAACAGTACAAATGGGCCTCAGCTGCAGAACAGCAGGCGGCTGAGAAATGAGAAGAATTCAAATATTGTTGTTTCAGTGATACTGGGTTTGAACTCAATGCTGAAAGTACAAAACACATTGTTATTGTGCAAAAATGTATTCCATCCACAGCAAGCTAATGGGAGGTGCAGATGAGGTCACTAAAAAGATTTCCTTAACCTTCCTTAACATTTCAGAGACTTGTATACTTCCAGGCTAGTACTTTACTCTGAATATACAGTATGTGTTAAAAACAATATGACATATTATCCTAGCTGATACATTGCATTGATTGGTTTCATGTGTTTTATGTAACCGCTGGCTCCAAGGACTCATAAACAGTTCTACGCTTTACACAACCTACCTTTACATTTAAAGGATAATTACAAAAACTGCTACTGATGGAGAGGTATAAGGCTCTGTTCACAGCAGCAGCATGCACTACCATAAAGCTGCTGGGGTGCAATAAAGGGAAGCAGTGCAGTGCGCTGATTTCAGTATATTGCACTGTTGACCTTTTTTAACTTTATTGAAATGTCACAAAGTGACAGCACATTACAATATGGTGTACTGTGCCGCAACATGTTACGGTGCAAAAAAGTAGCACTTTTTTTAGCGCAGGCCACCGCAAAGAGGTGGTGTGAACTGACTTCATAGTAAACAATTTGACTTGTGTCTGCTTCAGGACTGTGCTGGGCAGTGCAGTCCAACACAATCGGTGTGAACAGGTCCCAAAATTATTTCTTCTTACGAGAAATATTGTTTACATAATATTATCACTTTTTAACATAATAATTATATGTGCAGAATAGAGCCTAATGGTACAGTTTGGATATATAACCATTTGCTTTTTTGGGTATTTATAATATGCCCATTACCGAGCAGTGTGTACTAAAGGAATCTCTGTAAGTTATCTTCCATATTAAATGGATTATGAAGCCTTAGACTCTAAGACATGCTTAACAGATTCAGTTAAGCTGAATCTGTACCCTTCCCATCTGTTAAACTTCCATTTCCTTCATAAGTTAGCCTAAGGCTTATTTATGAAGTAACATCTGTAGAATTGGTATCCCCACTATCCCTGTGGATGTACAGTAATTACTGTGTTAGATATAAATAAGAAAGGCACAGCTCAACTGTGTACAAAAATAGAAAACATAATTGTGTCTGTCAAAGGGAAACTAAAACAGTTTTGGATCAATTTAATTTGACACTTTTTTAAGTGGAGTTTTTAGTGGGTTTTCTGAAGAAAGGGCACAGCAAAAACTCTGGTACACCCTATCAGGTAGGGAGTGAAAGGAGGAGATGGCTTATGAGTCACTGCTCTGACGATGCATTCAGTTTTGTGTGTAAATTTTAGTTTGAGCTACTGAGCTCTGTAGACACTAGTTTATTTTACGGCAAAGCAAATAAGGATAGCCTATAAATAATGTTAAATTGAGCCTATAGCTCCACCTGCGTGCAAAAAATGAAAATCCAAATATATTCAAGTGCAGCAATTTAACTTTTTTTAATTTTTTGAGGTACTGACTATAATAAATGATGGAAATATGTACAAAACAACTATATGTTTCCTCCAAAGAATTTTGATATCCTGTTTTGTGATCATTCAAATAGCAGCTGTATGGAGTCTTCTAATATCCAGGAAAGACTGAGAGGCCTGATTTCCCTTCCCTTTTAGTTCCTATCCCCTTATACTTATCTATGGCTAATTTAGGGAGCCCTTGTTTTCTACTAGATCTGTCCCAGCCCATTCAAGAGGAACAGCATCATATTGTGATAGGAGAAGCTTAAATGACAGACCATGCGCAAATTATAAAATTTTAGTCAAATAAGAAGGTCAAATGGAAGTGTTGTGTACTGCTACTTGCATAAAAAAACACTTGCATAAAACCTGCTTTATTGTTTTTAACACACAATTTATTATTCAAGCGCTATAGATTAACATTGACAATGTAAAACTGCTTCCCAAATGGCAGACGACTTAGGGTGAATTGACAACAGATTCTTTGGGCCTGCTCTGGCCCTTTTTTCCAGCACCGGCCCAACACAACACAAAGAAATGTGCCTTTCATGGTTGGGCACAATTCCCTCCTCTGCCACTCCTCTGCGTTTCGGTGGAATGCAAGTGGTGTGCGCTGAAAAATTTACTGCATGTAAAATGATTTTCAGCGCGTTGGGAGGTGAAGCGGTACAACTGCCTTGTACAATGATTTGTCCATAGAACTTAATGAAATATCAGCGGTGACATTTCAATAAAGTTTTAAAAAACACAAAAAGTACACATTATGATGTGCAAGGATGGGCACATCAGCACTGTGCCGTGCACCGCACACCAGCTGCCGTGCAATGTGGTGCAGTGGCTGGTGTGTATGGTTCCTTAGCCTTTCTTTGATTTACAATTCATCAGGCATATCTGCCTTCTAGGACATAGCAACATTCATGTATTTTAAAAATAGAGGTATTATAATAACAGAAGACACAGTGTTAGGGTAATGTGAAAACTCATATCTC